AAGATTATACCCAAACATGACATCGACTATTTTGAAATCTTTTCTCCCGTTGCTCGTCTCAACTCCATCAGAATTCTTTTCTCTCTGGCTATTAATATGGATTGGGCGCTTTTCTCCCGTTGCTCGTCTCAACTCCATCAGAATTCTTTTCTCTCTGGCTATTAATATGGATTGGGCGATGCACCAACTCCATCAGAATTCTTTTCTCTCTGGCTATTAATATGGATTGGGCGATGCACCAACTAGATGTGAAGAATTCTTTATAGTGATTTGGACGAGGAAGTTTAAATGGAGCAACCTCTTGGGTATGTTGCTCAGGGGGAGAATATTATCTGCAGGCTGAGAAAGGCCATCTATAGGTTAAAAAGCAGAGTCCTCGAGCTTGGTTTGATAAGTTCAGCAATGTTATTTCTAATGTTGGTTTCCAACGCTGTCAGTCTGATCATTCTATTTTTCTTCGACGCACAACAACTGGTTTGGTTATTTTAGCCGTATATGTTAATGATATTCTGCTGACTGAGAGTGACTCTGTTGTCTTAGCTGAGACCAAGGAGTATCTAAACCGTCATTTTGTCACTAAGGATATGAGAAAGCCAAAGTATTTTCTTAGGATTGAAGTTGCATATCAAAAGCATGACATGTTGTTGTCCTAAAGGAAGTATGTGTTAGATTTACTAAAAGAAGCATGTCTCTTGGAATACAAACCTGCAAGCACTCCAATGGAGGCAAATGTTGATTTATGACTTGATGATACCTCTCTACTAGATGATGTTGGACGATATAGGAGACTAATTGGGAAGCTAATATATTTGATAGTTACCAGACCTGATATTACTTTTACAGTAGGTGTACTGAGCATGTTTATGCACAAACCTAGAGAAGTTCATTGGACAACAGCTCTGAAGATTTTGGCATATATCAAGAGTTGTCTTGGCAAGGGATTGTTATATAAGAAGCATAGGCATACTCATATAAGAAGCATAGGCATACTCATATTTTGGCTTTCTCTGATGCTGGCTACGCTGGAGACATGAGAGACCGAAAGTTAACCTCAAGATTTTGTACTTTTGTTGGAGGTAATCTTGTGACTTGGAGAAGCAAAAAATAAGATGTAGTATCATGATCTAGTGCAGAGGTTAAATATAGAGCAATTGCTCACACTGCTTGTGAGATGATGTGGCTATGGAAGATTATGACAGAGCTTAGTTTTGTTCAGCCTGGACCTATACCAATGAATTGTGACAACCAGTCTGCCATTTATGTTGCACAGAATCATGTGTTTCATGAGAGGACAAAACATATTAAAGTTGAGAATAATTTTGTCAGAGATGCTTGGGAGAAGAAGATAGTATCTCTCATATTCACTCCGTCCTCACAGCAACTTAATTTTGTCAGAGATGCTTGGGAGAAGAAGATAGTATCTCTCATATTCACTCCGTCCTCACAGCAACTTGCTGATATTCTGGGAGAAGAAGATAGTATCTCTCATATTCACTCCGTCCTCACAGCAACTTGCTGATATTCTTACCAAGACTACTTCTTTAAATGTGTTATCTACTATATGTGACAAGCTGGGTATGATAAATATCTATGCTCTAGCTTGAGGGGGAGTGTTAAATTAAGTATTGGGTTAATAAGCTGTTACCCGTTAACCTTAACCCTATTTATATGACTATATATATCTCTCTTGTTATCTCAATAAACAACAATTAGGGTTTTCTCTATTCTTTACATGATAAATAACCAAGACAAACCCAACTTGGATTCGTGCAAAACAAGAATCCAGATCAGCCCAGGAAACCCGATTCGGTCGACTGATATTCCCTCCATCGGTCGACCGATCGGCCCCTCTCGGTTGACCGACACGGTCGACAAGTGTGTCGGTCGACCAATCAGAACGCCTAATTCTCGACTTGTAGCGTGCATGCTTTGGTCGGCTGGGCATGGTTGTTCGGTCGGTCGACATAGCTTCATCGGTCGACCGGTGCTAGCTCGTCGGTTGACCGGCAAGAGCTGCTTCGTTAGTTTCCTGATTTTTATCGTTTTCCTGCTTTTGACCGTTTTCGTCGCTACCGACGACTTTGCTCACGCTTCTATTCTCAGGCTACCATGAGAATCATCTATCCTCAAGCTCTCATGAGGATCGCTAAGTTCTCGAAGCAGAAAAGATACACATGTATCATGGTTCTCCCTTTAGGAACTTAAAGTCTCATTCAAGTTATAGAACTTCAGCTAAAGAAACTCTCGAACTCCTCCTTCTTTGTTGAGCCACTTGATCTTGCTAGGAACCTGACCTTGATATCCAACCAGAAACGACTCATTCGTCTCTCGTCTCGTCGTAGTCATCTTTCGCTCTAAAATCAATCCTCTTTCAGTAGCTCCTCATAAGGCCTAATAAACAACGAGACAAACTTCTTGTTTGTATTCACTAGCTTTTTCGTCCGGGTCACCGTCACCAAGTATGTCACCTTCGGAATAGACGCCGAACAAAATATGAAATTCTCACCGTCTTTGGTGAATGTATACTTCTGAGCCCATCTTTCGTAGATTACGTATCTATCCCATAAATACGGATTGTCCAGTATAACCTGACAAACATCCAATAGATTTACATCACATGTGACCTCATCAATATACGATTCGTGGAGTGCAAATCTAAAGTGCATTGATTAACTACACTCAGCCCCGCCTCCTTCTGAATCCTTCCAAATGGATAGGGCTTTAAATGCTTGACCGTCTTCAGACCCAGCTTCTGAACCAAGGCCTCGAATATCAAATTCTTCTCGCTGTCTGAATCAACTATGGCATGTATCAAACTGGTCTTCACTTGTAACTTAAGAACAAAGAACTGCTCTCTAGGGTCTTCGTCTTCCTTCGCGGCCTGCTTCCTTATCATAAAGTTGAGACTGCTGTTGGGCTCCGTCATCTTTGGGACTTTTTTCGGACCTTGTGCTATCATGTATGTCTTTTTCTCCTCCTTTTTCTCCTCCTTTTTCTTTAACTCATTTGGTTTAAGATGAGGATACTTCTCCCATCACCGATCAGCGACATGTCCTGTCTTCTCGCAATGACTACAAATCAATTCTATTTTTTCTGGATCATCCTTCTTCTTTTCCTCGGGTTAGGAACCACTAGACTCACCTCCAATTTGCTTGGCATCTCCCTTTGTCTCGTTGCTCTTCTTCTGCTTGCCTTCAATGACAATAGACTTCACGCTCGCCTCCGTAATCGACTCAACCGTGAATAGCTTCATCAGTTCATCTCCTTCCGGATGTATTCGTTTAAACCCGTCATATACTTCATAAAAACAGAGTACTCCTCTGCCGCAATGTTGAGGACCCTCGCTTGCTGCTGAAACTCTGTAGTGTATTTTTGAACAGATGATTGAATCTTTGAAGCAAGCCGTACCACTTGTACAAACGCTCTTCAAAGAATCCTACCAGGTAGAATTGTTTCCTTAGTAGATCCTTGAACCCGCTCCACGATACAGATTTCTTTTCCTGTTTGCAGTAGGATTTTCACCACGTCAACGCGTGCCCAGAAAGCTTCAATGTCGCAAAAATAATCTTCTCCTTTGACGAATAACCATAAAGAGTGAAATAGATCTCCATACGTTCGATCTAATCATCAAGCTTCTCAACGTTGACACTCCCATCATAAACAAAAATCTCAACTCTGAAATCAATCTTTAAATTCTGGTAAAAACTCTTACCCCCTTGATGTGGAACAGTTTTGACGATCTCGACCTCCTCGTCAGAATCTGAATTCTCATTGTCTCCATCGGATTCTACAGGTCGCCTGTTTCACCCCCAACGAAGGTTCAACCTTTTTGTCGCCTCTGTGGATGAGATCGACGAGCTTCGTGAGCGTCGAACTGATGGTCTCGATCTGTTTCTCCATCGTGTCAAGTTTGGATGAATTGTCGTTTTCAGCCATCTTCTTCTTCTTACTTGACTTCTGGACTTCTTTCAAAGAAACAAGAATCTCGCATAACTTCTTGTATTGCGATCGAGTAAGGACTATACGCAGGATACCCCTTCACAGGATCTGAATTTGCTCTGATACCAACTTGATACGAGTCGTCGAGCGAGCACCTTTGATCGCGGAATTATCAAATATAGGTTTGAGAAGAAAATAATAAAACACACAAAACAATTCAATTGGCGAAGAAAAATACATTTTCTAGATTATGAAGAATAAAGTATTATAAAATCTCTCTCACAATCTCTCTAGAATAAAGAACTTCACTATCCTCTTTAAACTCTAATCTGATGTTTAGAAACCCTAAACAATCTCTATTTATATCTTAAACAACGTGGTTGGTAAAATGGTAAATAACCAAGAACCAAGACAAACCCAACTTGGATTCGTACAAAATAGGAGTCCAGATCAACCCAGAAAACCCGATTCGGTCGACCGACATTCCCTCCATTGGTCGACCAGTCGGCCCCTCTCGGTCGACCGACAAGTGTGTCGGTCGACCGACAAGAATGCCTAATTCTCGACCTGTAGCGTGCATGCTTCGGTCGATTGGGAATGGTTGTTTGGTCGACAGACATAGCTTCATCAGTCAACCGGTACTAGCTCGTCGGTCGACCGACCAGAGCTGTTTCGCTAGCTTCCTGATTTTCATTGTTTTCCTGCTTTTGACCGTTTTCGTCGCTACCGATGACTCCGTCCACGCTTCTATTTACAAGCTACCATGAGAATCATCTATCATCAAGCTCCTATGAAGATCGCTAAGCTCCCGAAACAGAGAAGATACACCCGTATCAGATGTAGCACTAGTTATTCCATGAAATCGATAGATTCTTTTTATGCTGAGAATTTTAAGACACTAAACATTGATATAGTGAAATAAAATCAAGCACACACCAATTCTGGACTAGTCCCAAGTCCAAGTAGATGAACAAGCCAATTCTATTTTCTTTTATAAAATTTTCATGTATCCATAGAAAACCACGCCAAAAGAATTCTCAAATGAAGCTGAGAGAAAAAGATGGGAAAACTCAAAGAGATGGGCCACTCCTTTAAAATTCTATAGTTGGTGAACAGTACATGTGTACATAGATACATAAAAAAGACATAAAAGTGCTACTCATTAATCTACATTATACATAGTAACATACCTCAATAGCAATAACTAACACGGACAGTTCATTAACACTTCATATAATAGTAGCCAATCTTCTTAGCTTGGCCAAACATGATTAATTATTTTTCCTTCAGCAGCATCAAGGTCATTCAGCTCCAAATCATCTGGATAAGTATTAAATGTAAGATGCAAAAAAAAATTAAATGAACAAAAAAGATTAATATAAATTAATCTACCACGCTCTTAAATAATACCTTAATTCAACACGGACTAACTAAGAGGATCACTTGAATAGCTTGCTGGGTGTTCATTAGACACATCTCCATTGAGAGATGGAAAAGAAGGAATTGATTTTAGTATCAGTTTCCTTCCTCCTTTACGGTTTGGAGATATTCCAAGTGCACCATGTGGAGGAGAAACCCTCTTCCCGTTTGGAGATATAATCTTCACACTGTTGTTAGGAGATGCATCACATCTGAGGATCTCAGGAGTATCATCATTTGCAAGGGAATTAGAATGATCCACAGTTTTTGGTTTGGAGAGAAACTCGCATCTTCTGAGAGTCTGTGATGTTGGATAGCAGGCGGAAAGTGCAGAAGACCGCGGTGGCTTCCCACTTGAAGGAAAAGGAGGTTTGACAAAGGGTCTGTAGAGAAAAAAAAATTGGGCTTTAGAACCATGCAGAACAAGCGATAAGAGCAATAAGCTCTGAAGTGTCCAACCTGCAAGTTTCAAAAGATGGTGTAATTGGCAATATGCTTTCTGGTGAATAATGTTCATTCTTTTGAGCAATATCATTCTGTTGACCATCTTGCTGTTCGTCCTGTTGCTTCTCAGAAACATCCATTATGTCTTCCGCATGAACAGCTTCAGCGCCTACTTAGGCAAATTATGCACCAATCACCACCACATATAAGACAGAAGACGATAACCAAACAGGTATAAGGTACTAAGCAACATGATATGGAAAAAACAGAACATCAATTTGAATATAAAAGATATATTCCAATTCTTATTAATTTTATTTGCACCAAACAGAAGGGGCAAAATTTTGCCTATAGCATCCAAAAAAACCAAGCAACTACAAGCTACTTATGGGAAAAGAACTGCAGTAGGAGTCTAAGGGCATTCTAACGATTCACAAAATAAACAAGCCATTTGAATAAGAGGCACACTTTTCAAGGAAATTATCCAGAACCGTCCTCATAAACTCCTCCACTAACAACTCTGTAGTAGCTGACACAATGCATAAAATTTCACACACCCCTAGAAAGCTACGGATATTAAATAAGACGACACGGTCTAAATTGAAAGTCCTCCTCTGCATGGACATGCTTCTGTACAAGCAAAGACTACAAACCAGTGCCCCTATTTAAAATCTATCTAAAAAAGTTCAAATTCACATATTAAAGATCATGTGCCACACAACCCCAAGTTCAAAAGAAAAGGTTGGTGCAGAAGAGTTACCACCAGTTTGAAAAAACATAAGTGGGGAAGTATAGGGACAATTAGAGAGAGAGAGAGAGAGAGAGAGAGAGAGAGAGAGAGATTTCGTAATTATGTATATTTGGTGAAGAATAAACAAAGAAATTTGCAAGTCAATCACTCAAAAGGACAAATAGTGAACTAGGAATTGGTCAAGGAAAGTAATACATGTACCATTAATGATCTAATTCAGAAAAGGAAATATAACCAAAAGAAGTACTGACCATCTTTTCGTCCAAATGCATTTTTACATCCCTCACACCTGCAGCTTGCAGAGCATCCAACACCACCCTTCAAAGAAAGCACAGCATAAAAATCAGATCAAAACAATAAAAAGAAGTTAATGGGCCAAGAAATAAACCTGGAAACATTCGCAATATTTCTTTAGGCAACTTGATTTCTTGCAATTACATCCTCTTTTATGTCTGGCTGAAGCAGGAGTCTTGTTGGTTTCTTCCTGAAGGATAATTAAAGGACCCAATCCCTGAGCAACTGATAAATAATGTGATAAAAAGTGGTTATCAGCTGCAATACTCACCGCCATATCTTGAACAGGTTTAGAAGCTCGAATTACTTTGGGAGCAAATGCAAGTGGATTACGAGATTCTATTTGCTTGCGAGTAGCCAGAACAGTTTCTTCATGAATTGGTTTGTTGAAACATCCTTGGCAGGAGCAAGGCTCAACACAGTAGATTCCAGCAGCAAAACACTCACAGTAACTGCAAAGGACATCAGCAATCAGCATGATGCCATGATATGATTAGCAGGAAATCAAATAGCAAAAGAACTTTATACATTCTCCATGCGGGTCCTGGCAATGGATCAAGCAACTGAAAAAATAGAAAGGTACGGTCTGGAAGAACCAAGTTGACTCACATGAAGAGATCGAGAGGACAGAAGGGAGGTAGGACTGTGACATGCAGTGTAAGGAGAAAATTAGCTGGTGTCTGATTTTAGATAGGGTTTATCATGTATTCAAGTCATTGTAGTAGTTGCTGATATTAAAAGAGGAAGCCAGAAGTAAAACTTCAAAGGACTCAAGGAAATCATTCCATGGCAAAAGGCTATGAACAACCTACAACACAGTGCTTCATCTACAAAGATATTGGGCAAAAGCCACGGACTTTCCTCAGAGGAAGGGACAAATGAGGACAAATTATGAAATTTGAAAATAAACTTGAGTTGAAACTTGATGAAATAACTCAAGAATCCAAAACAAAAGAAGGTAGAAGTCATATTTAACACATAAAGTGGACTAACACATAATGGTTCAAGATGTCAATGTTCACATAAAGAAAAGCAGGATCTCCAAATTACTTTGCCCTTCAGCTCAGGAAGATCAATCTTGACATTTTTTTGAGAGATGAGCATCACCATTGAAAAGGATAGAGAAACAGAATAAAGGTCCCTCAAGGATGGCATTAAGAAGTTGGAACAACCTGGAAGATATCAGTTTAAACTATTGAAGAGGAATTTCCACTAATGTCTGTCAAATGTAGAAATAAGGTTACCTAGTTCTGCCCCCCATTTTTCTTCACGTGGATGGCGATGGAACTGATAACATGAATAGAGGGGTCAAGACCTCTTAAAAGGCTTGCATTGTTCACTATTGCCAAATACAATTAAATTTGCATTTATTATCTTATTCTCAAATAGTGTTTTCCATTCAATCATCATATTGAAAGAATTACATAAATCTGACAAGTATTTCCTGAGCTACAAGGTATAAGACTTGAAATTTGTTCAATAGTTGCAGCCAAACAACTTGAAAAGTTATTGGACCCATGGAAAAAAAAAACCCAGCTACTCTTGATATGTATTTGAAGGAGTATTTTTGTCCCATTATTCTATTTTTCCTTGGAACAAGGAAGATGGAGCTCTCCTGAAATTTTAACACAGTTGTACCAAATGTATTCTCAGAAATATGATTACGTTAAAAGAACCTTACAGCTTTAAACATTTTGACTTTTTACAGTTGCAGCGCTTGCAACCCTCACTTTCACCGCCATTTTCTGATTTCCGCCTGCATATAATGACACATAGAGATGCTATGTTAATTATCTAATGCTGAAGAGTAAGAAGTCGAGAAGTCAGATTGAGTATCTTACTTTTTCTTCTTGGGACTGCCCTGCATTAAATTTTCGCCATCAGCCGGAGCTTCGGAAGCATCATCGTGTGTGACTTCAAGGCCTGGAACTCCACTACCAGTGGGATGTTCATCTTTTATAACATCCAGTGACTTGTTCACAGACTTCTGCACAGCTGTTATTGGAGGGAACGGGCTAGTAGAGCATGGCATACTGATAAAACGTTTACCAAAAGCAAGAGTTTCCTTAGTGACCATTCTATCACTTGGTGTTGTGGCAAGAGTGTTTAAATGCAAACCGATACCGGGCAATACACGTTGTGATGAACTACTTTCTGGCTTCGATAAAATTGATAGTTTATCGTCTAAAGTAAATTTTCTGCTGGATAGCGATGATACTGAAGGATGGAGTTTAGAGTTGTTGTTTGAGTTCTTTGTAGAACCTCCAGCTAACTCAAAAGTCAGACAACGCCTTCTCATTCCACGTTGTTGATGAGAATCAATTTCTGAGTAAATAGTGGTAGAGGCAATATATGTGCTAATTACTAAATCATTATGAGGGAAAAAAACTAGTTCTATTTAGATGTCAAGAAGTGTTATTCGGGATGTCAATTATCACAAGAAAGCCGTTTAATCCAAAAACTTAAGTTCTTTGGATTGTGGACTTTTACAAATGAATACCAATCAAAGTTTAACATTCATGGACATTTGGGCCGTGCCAAAAGACCTCTAGCACATACTTTGCTTTCATCCAAGTGCTCTATTGTGAGGGTTGGACACAACTTCTATGCAAAAGCAAAAGCCATCGGATTGTAATATAAGAATGGTACCAAGTAACTTTCTCAGCAAGAGATGAAGAGCAAGAGAGGGTATGTTTGTTTTAGGATAATCCTAGAATAAAGTGAGGAAAATAAAGTTTGAATATGCGCTTTTATGCCATGTGTTTCCTTGTGAACCCAGAAAATGAAACTTCCGACTTACAAAATCAAAGGCAACAATGGCAAGAGGCGACAGAAGCTCAATGTTCATGATAACTTACAGCTTCCATGTGCAAGTTGTGCATCATAATCATACCTTATTGTAAGATAACTAATCCCATTAGCTTAAGCTAATGGGTTAAGATGGCAACCACTAACCAAAGTGGATCGTATAATTTAGCCTGTTAGGAAAGGTGAATCACTAGGAAGCAGAAAAAACAGAAGTGCATAAATATTTCATCTTGCAACCATGAGGCTTTTACCCAGAGATCATCTGAAACCATGTACTCTCAATCACTTATCAATAAGTCAAAAGAAACAGAAAAATAAGAAAACAGAAGAAATAAGAAGGATAACTTCAGCAAAAAAATTATGCTGTAAACCCCTCAGAATCGTAGGCTGGCCAGGCGGAAAGTTCAATCCATGAAAAGGTTGAGTTTCTAGCATATGTTTGACCACCACCATAACCATCATATCATGTACTACACATTCTGGTCCCTAAATTCAATAAAAAAGATAAATATATACTTAGAGTATGTTACCATTTCAGACACTGAAGAGTCACGGAGACAGGTGCAATATATTATGAAGTAAACCACATGGTGTAGCCCCATAAATTTCAGTTACCTTGCAGTCTAAGGGGAAGCAACTGTCAGCTCCCTTTCCAGTTTCGTGATTTGGATCATTCAACAAAATTTGATTCTGAAAAGAGCCTGAAAGTATCTGGGGAGTGTGATCTGTTTCATTTTCCTCAATTAACTGTTCACTGAACCCTCCTGGAGGATACTGGGGAGCATTTTGAAGGTAAGGAACACTGCCATCTACAGGCTTCTGTGACGAAGTTAACGAATTAGCCTCACTATTGCAAGCCCCTGAATCAGTAGAGGAATCGAAAATCAGCAGATCATCAGCATCTACAGAAATTAAATTCTCCCAGTCACAAGCACCAATTTCTTCCTTATTTTGTGTGGTGTCTTTCATGAGCTCGATCTTTTTAGCAAATAAAAAAAGCTTCCTCTTTTCGGTACCATCGTCGACGACATGAGCTACTTGAACTGACGTCTGACCACTAACTAAATTAACTTCAGCTTTGTTGTCATAACAAAGTGTGGTATTATGGTTGGGACTACAAGTGTCATACAGAATTGATTGAGACAAGTTGCTAGGCTGGGTTGAACATTCCTCAGGAGGGTCAACAGCAGCTTCATTCAGTGAGCATATTGTACTGCAATTTTCTCGAGCAACAGCAGGGTTACTAGCATCTGATATACCTGGGCATAGGCTGCGTTCATCCAAATTATCAGAAGAATTCTCCAATTTTGACAAGTCCGAACAAGGATGCCTAAAGAAAAGAGAAAAAAAACTTTATCAGAAACTCTATAGTTAATAATCTCTAGAATATGAATTACAAACTGATATTTACTTTATCAAAAATCTAGATTCCTTTTGCGAATTGATATGTGGCGAAGCAAAGACCGAAGAAATTGATGCAAAACTCAAAGAATGGAACACTTGCACTCCATGTGCTGACTTTACAGGCTGGATAGGAGATAGATTATTGATGAAGTTGAAGATAGGTGAATCCTGCATCAAATAGTAAAATAGATCAAGTGGATTACACGAAACCGGTTTCACAATAATCATCAACCTAACAAATAGCAAGAGGCACTTTAAGACCATATGAAAGATGAAGCAACGTCCACACTTTTGCACATATTTATTGCCAGAATGCCAAAATATTATTCAACATCCACACTTCTGCAATTAAGTCCCAAGTTCAATTACTTAAGAGTTAACATTGACAAAATAGAACAGTCCATTGCAGAATGTTAAAGCATCATAGTCATGTTGTTCCCTGTGTTCAAGAATAGGTAAGCATCAAAGGATAAAATGTGTGATGGTTTTACATATCCAGATGATGTAGACATTTAATGATCAGCTTAATGTGCAACAAAAAAGAAAAATCTTTGTCAATCTATCAGGACTTATAAATTGGGGTTGTATTGATCCAATGATGAGAGAAAAAACCATATAAACTCAGCATGTGAAATTAGAACTGTAGATTATGAACTAATGGAAGTTATAATGAAAACAGCAAAATCGGAGAGTGAAAATGTAAAAGGGTGAAGAGTGAGTCAGATCAAGAACACAAGATGAAAGGACTCAAGAAGGGAAAATAAGTTAGCAATTCAGCAGATAAGAGAATATAAGGTTCATCTATAACCTGAAACCAATATTTGACTTGATGGCAAACAGTATGAAGCTGTGGAACACAGAAATTTTACTAAAAAATATATCTGCACTTGCACAAATAGATAACAAACCAGATGCCGGAGTTACACCAGAGAGATGGTATCTCAAAATCCAAGAAAACAATGTTCAATGGATAAGCTTGATCTTACACAGAAGAAATCCTTTCTCACATGAGCAAAGATTGGCTGATGAAATATTGCAAGGAGGGTTTTGTCAGAAAAATAGGGTGCTTCTACAGGGACCCAAAAATGAGACAGATAGGGGGGGTGGGACAGATAGGGGAGACAGGTGAGGTGTCCCCCTTAATTGCACAATGAGCTGGTCATGGCCAGCTCATTATGCAATTAATGGGGGACACCTCACCTGTCCCCCCTATCTGTCCCATTTTCGGGTCCGTGAGGCATATAAATAAAGGGCAAAAATGGAAAGCAATCCACTTAACATGTCTGGCAAAACAAAAAACAGGTTTAAATGCATAAATAATACACCTGTGATGCATCATAATAAAAACCATCACCCCAAATAAAAATCAAATAAAATTGGGAAAGACTCCTAATTCCTAAGAACCCGAGAAGCTAAAGTGATAAATGAACTCTGTGTACTGTTGGGACAAACCCGGGGCCTAATAGAGCAGGATCGCAGCAATAGTAGTGAAAATAGAGATAAAAATATGGACACACAGATTTACATGGTTCGACAGAAAATTACCTACATCCACGGACAATGATAGAAGAATCTAATATGAGGAGAAAACTCTGTAGTTATAATCTCTCTTTACAAGGAGATACTCTCACTCTCTATTTTTTTCTCTTCTATATGAGGAGTTGTTTCTGGGATGGGTTTTTCCTTAAGGATTTAGAACCTATTTATAGTGTTTGGAAAAACGCTATGCATAATAAAATATTAATATTTTGCTATGCAAATAATAATGATGGTGGGACCTACTCTCTCATTTCTCAAACTTTGTGGCTGGATGCCCTAGCTTTCGATGCTTTGATTGTTAGGCTCCTGACAATCTCCCACTTGAAGATTTGATTGAGTATCAATCATATCTTCACACCATTATTTCTATCTTGCAATCTTCATATTTTTTACGTCTCCGTCAGACCATAAGAGGATCGACACCAAATAAATTTGTCAGTACTGACTGCTTTTGTCAAAAAAATATGCTAGGTTGTCTTTGGTATGAATTTTCTGCATATCCATTATTTCTTCTTCCACTTTCTCACGAACGAAGTGGTACTGAACTTGAATGTGTTTGGTCTTTGAATAAAAGGCTGGATTTCTTGCCAAATGCAAAGCACTCTGAGTGTCACAAAATAAAGATATCTTCTATTGTTCATAGCCGAGTTCCTCCAGTATCATCTTCAACCACATTACTTCTTTACTGGCTTGTGTAGCTGCTACATATTATGCTTCTGTTGTTGAAGTAGCCATAACTGATTGCAGTTTTGAAACCCAGCTTATAGCTCCGCCAACAAGTACAAACACATAACATGTGATGGATTTGCTATTATAACGATCACCTGCATAATCAGAACCAACATATCCACTGATAATAAAATCAGATCCCCCATAACATAATGCAATATTTGAAGTTTCTTGAACATATCTTAAAACCCTCTTTACAACATTCCAATGCTCTTTACCAGAATTTTTTATGTATCGACTAACCACTCCCACTGCTTGTGCAATGTCTGGTCTTGTACAAATCATAGGAAACATTAAGCTTCCCATTGCTGATGCATACGACACTCGAGACATCTTCATCCTCTCTTCTTCACTGCTAGGGCTCATGCTGGAGGATAACTTAAAATTAATAGGAAGTGAGGTAGAAATTGACTTACAATCTTGCATGTAAAAGCGCCGTAAAATTTTCTTCAAATAGTTCTTCTGAGAAAGTCAAATCTTCCTATTAACTCTGTCTCGATAAATTTGCATCCCTAGAATTTTGTTTGTGGATCCTAAATCCTTTATTTTAATTTTTTCTAGCTAACTGAACTTTTAATTCTTTGATACGATCTTTGTTGGGGCCTGCAACCAATATGTCGTCAACATACAATAATAAAATAACAAAGTTATTTTTACCAAACCTCTTGAAATATGCACAAGGGTTTGAATTAATTCTATTGTATCCAAGACTCATGATGAATGAATCAAATCTCTTGTACCAACACCTCGGCATCTGCTTTAGACCGTACAGAGATTTATTCAATCTGCAAACCAAGTTCTCTTTTTTTTCTTCAAAACCTTCTGGTTGGAGTATGTAAATTTCTTCTTCAAGATCTTTATAAAGAAATATTGTTTTCACATCTAGTTACTCTAGATGTAAGTCAAATATAACGCTCATAGTCAATGCTATTCGGACTGTTGTAAGTCGAACTACAAGAGAAAATATTTTATTAAAATCAATACATTCTTTCTGAGCATATCCTTTTACCACTAATCTAGCACGATATCGCTCCACTTGATCATGGCCATTTCGCTTGATCTTGTAGACCCATTTGTTTCCAATGGTCTTTCTTCCTTGTGACAGTGACACAAGTTTTTCCAAGTCTTGTTCTTATGGAGAGCTTCAATTTCTTCTTGTATTGTTATCATCCACAAAGATGCATCTGTGTCATTCAACTTCATTAAAAGTTGATGGCTCTCCGTCTTCTGTTAGAAGACAGTATGTAACATTACTCTTCGTAATATACTCCGAGTGCCAAGTCGGTGGTCTTCTCTCACGAGTTGACCTTTGAGCTTATGGAGCCTCAAACTTGACTGGTTCTTGTACATCATGCTCCAGTGTTGCTTCAGAAGAATTCGGATCATCTTCTACATAAATAGCTACAGTCTCTGAGTCCTTCCTTGAGTTATTTTCTTTTTCACCACTTTGTAGTTAATTTTCTACGAAAATAACATCTTTGCTGATGATAACTTTGCGATCAGTAGGATCCCATAGGTGATACTCCTTTACTCCATCAGCATACCTCAAGAATATTTATTTTTTGGATTTTGAATCTAACTTTATAATTTCTTGGATATTGTACATTGCGTACACTGCACTTCTAAATATATAGAGGTTAGAATAATCAGCTGGCTTGTCAGTCCACATCTTCATCGGCGTCTTTAATTGTATTGTAGTTAATAGAGATCGATTTACCACATAACATGCGGTTTTTACTGCTTCCATCCAAAAGACTTTATCCAGATTTACAGTTACCAACATAGCTCTTATTCTTTCCAATAGAGTTTTGTTCATCCGCTCCGCCACTCTATTTTATTGAGGAGTATAAGCAGTGCTAAATTATCTTTTGATGCCTTCTTACTTGCAGAATGTTAGGAATTCACCGTCTGTATATTCTCCTTCATTATCTGACCTCAAGCACTTGATCTTCTCAGATTCAAGCTCGACTCGTGCTTTGTAGGCTTTAAAGACTGAGAACACATCCGGCTTCTTCTTGATAGGATACACCCAACATCTTCTGGAGTAGTCATTAATAAAGGACACAAAATACTTTTCTCCTCCCAAAGATATAACCGATGCTTGCCATACATCAGAATGAACCAGTTCCAGAATAGTCTTGCTTCTAGAACTTGATGTGTTGAACTTCAGCCGATGCTGCTTACTTGTAACACAATGCTCGCAGAATGGAAGAGCTACCGAATTAAGTCCAGGAAGTAGCTTCTGATCAGAGAGAATCTTCAAGTCTCGTTCTGACATGTGGCCTGGTTTGCGATGTCACATCATGGTTTTTTCTTCTCCACGGCTGGTTGATGCCACACATGAACCAGCTTCCTGCAGGGTTTCTCCTTTGAGCATATATAAATTTACAGTTATCTTTTCTTCTTTTATTACCACAAGCGTCCCTCTAACAATCTTCATGATCTTATTTTCTATATGGGTTTTGCATCCGAGCTCATCTAATTATCCCAAAGATAATAGATTCTTCTTCAAACCCTTCACATGTCGTACATCTTGAATGATGCGTATTGTACCATCAAATATTTTGATTTTGATAATGCCAATACTAAAAATCTCCAAGGCATGATCATTCCCCATGAATACAGATCCTCCTGAGATAGGTTTATATTTGTGAAATCATTCTCTCCGGGAGGTCATGTGCCAGGAGGCTGCTAAATCTAGAAGCCATACATCAGCAAACCTCATTCTGCCTTCATCAACAATGATTGCTCCACTGAATAGAATTTTACCATCGTCTGATGTGCTGACAACACATCCTTGAGATATTGATGACTCTGAAGACTTTTTACCTCCACTCTTCTTATTGTGTCAGCATTCTGATTTGACGTGCCCTCTTTTATCACAGTTGTAACATTTAATATTCTTCTTACTTCGTGATTTTGATCTACCATGGGTATGACTCCCACTGGAGCCACGTTCTGTTGATCTTCCCCTCGTCATCGTTAAGGCCTCCGTCTATTGCGAACTTGCCTGCCTGTCTTCTTTATTCTTACGTTGATTTTCTTCCTCCAGAACAGCGACTGCAACATCATCGAAAACTAGATTGTCTGTGAGAACGTTATTTGTGAGATTGATAATGAGCTGATCATACGAGTCAAGTAGACTCTGAAGTAGAAGTTATGCACGTTTATTCGCACCAACTGTATACCCCAACGTTATGAGTTGAGAGAACAGTGTGTTTAGGGTGTTGATGTGATCGGTCATCGATGTAGATTACGCCATTCTCAGAGTGTAAAGTCTCCTTTGTAAGAAGATTTTATTGTACAAGGATTTTGCCTGATATAGCTTTGTTAGAGTATCCTAGATCTCCTTTGCTATCTTCTTCTCTTTTATGCTTGACAACACTCCGTCTGCAAATACCAGATGGAGATTTACAATAGCAATTTCGTCCATCTCATTCCACTTCTTATCATCTCTGATGTCGGCCGGCCTTACACCGATGACCGCTAGATAATTATTTTTTCTCAAGATAGTCTTTATCTTTAACTTCCACAGAGAGAAATTACTCCCGTCGAATTTCTCGATCATAAACTTCGCCGCCATTGCTTCTACCACGAACAATAACTTCTTACTATTTCACGTAAATAGTAATTGTATTTATGAACAATAACCTTATCCGTGAATAGTATCGTATTTGTGAATAGTACCATATTTATGAATAATGTCGTACTCGTAAATAGTACATGTTACTTTCAAATGGTAAATGATAACCTAACTTATTTTCTGATGTGGAGGATCCACCTTTGGTGACAGCCACAGAGCATACGATAAGTAGATATATACAAACACCCTAAGTTGGCTCTAATACCACTTGTTGGGACAAACCCGGGACCCAATAGAGCAGGATCGCAGCAATAATAGTGAAAATATAGATAAAAAGATGGACACACAGATTTACGTGGTTCGACAAAAAATTACCTACGTTTATGAACAATGATAGAAGAATCCACTATGATGAGAAAACTCTAGAGTTACAATCTCTCTTTACAAGGAGATACTCTCTCTCTCTATTTTTTTCTCTCTCACTCTTCTATATAGGAGTTGTTTCCGGGATGAATTTTTTCTTAAGGATTTGAAGCCTATTTATAGTGTTTGGAAAAATACTATGCATAATAAAATATTATAATTTTACTATGAAAATAATAATAATGGTGGGGCCCACTCTCTCATTTCTCAAACTTTGTGGTTGGATGCCCAAGCTTTCGGTGCTTGGATTGTTAGGCGCCTGACAATCTCCCACTTAAAGATTTGATTGAGTATCAATCATATCTTCACACCATTCTTTCTATCAATCATATCTTCACACCATTCTTTTTATCTTGCAATCTTCATGTTGCTTTACGTCTCCGTCAGATCATAAGAGGATCGACACAAAATATATTTATCAGTACTGACTGCTTTTGTTAAAAAATCTGTTAGGTTGTCTTCGGTGTGAATTTTATGCATATCCATCGTTCCTTCTTTCGTTTTCTCACGAACGAAGTGGTACTGAACTCGAATGTGTTTGGTCTTTGAATGAAAGGCTGGATTTTTTGCCAAATACAAAGCATTCTGACACTCACAAAATAAAAATATCTTCTTTTGTTCATAGTCGAGTTCCTCCAGCACCATCTTTAACCACATAGCTTTTTTACTGGCTTGTGTAGCTGTTACATTTTCTGCTTCTGTTGTTGAAGTAGTCATAACTCACTGCAGTTTTGAAACACAGCTTATAGCTCCGCCAGCAAGTACAAACACATAACCTATGGTGGATTTGCTATTATCACGATCACCTGCATAATCAGAATCAACATATCCACTGACAATAAAATCAGATCTCTCATAATATATTGTCAGGCGCCTAATAATCCAAGCACCGAAAGCTTGGGCATCCAGTCGTAAAGTTTGAGAAATGAGAAAGTGGACCCCACCATCATTATTATTTGTATAGTAAAATATTAATATTTTATTATGCATAGTATTTTTCCAAATACTATAAATAGACTCTAAATCCTTAAGGAAAACTCGTCCCAGAAACAACTCCTCATGTTGAAAAGAGAGAAAAAAATAGAGAGAGAGTATCTCCTTGAAAAGAGAGATTGTAACTCCAGAGTTTTCTCCTTATAGTGGATTCTTCTATCCTTGCCCGTGGACGTAGGCAATTTTATACTGAACCACGTAAATCTATGTATCCATCTTTTTATCTCTATTTTCACTATTATTGCTGTGATCGTGCTCTATTGGGCCCCGGGTTTGTCCCAATATGTACCACACAAGCATATGCACTTGAACCATTAAGAAAATTACAATTAGACACATTATTCACGCTAACAAATAACAATCATGAGTTCCTATGCTACATAAGATCGACTTCACCTTATATCACAAACGAGTATAGAAAGGGAAAAAAACTCTATACAAATTTATCAGAAAACTTAACCGATGTTAAAAACTATCAGAAGATACTAACAACATAAATCATGTGACAGGGATAAATCTCATGACCTAATGTTTTTCTTCCCCTTAATTCCGGCCAAAGGGGTTAAAACCATCAAGATCTAGGAGATAATTACACGGAAAATAATTTGTGCAGAAATTGAGATTTTTAGACGATGCCATTAGAATAACACTCTCATTGATTATCCCATCTACAGCTAAAAAGTAAAGTAAGCAAAAACTCTAAACCCTAACAAACATACTTCTCAATAACCAGCACTTAAAACTAAGAACCACCGCTGGAATGCATTAAATTTAAGTTCAAATCCTTATAAGCCCTAATTATAGAACAAAACTTCAAATTTCCACATAAATCATCAAACAAAGTTAAAGAGAAAAAAATGAAAAAGAAAAAAAAATGAAAGAATCAAAATGACAATAGAGAAAGCTCTGATCAATTGATAACGAAGTCCAACCAAAACTACTTCTGATGAAGTAAATATTAATTACATCAAAAACCTACACCATTTTTTGAGAACAAGAATAGCATGTCAGTGTACTAAAAATCCAAAGACCTAAGAAACATGAGCTTAAAAAACTTAAAAAATTACCTCAAACCAACAATAAAATTAAAAAAAATCCACAGCTAGTAAACATCAAAAAACCAAAGTTTCACTCTCATGGTCAACTCCAATTCCTAGAATCTAAATGCGCAACGAAAAACCTCAACATTCCTTAAATCCTAGGAAAATGTCTCAGAAACTAAAACAAACCAGAAAAAACCGACACGATGCCGAAACATCTCAGATCGCACCAAAACCTTCGATTAACCGATAAACCTCACGAAACCTCCGATCCGTCCGAATCGGAGCCCGATCCTAGACCAAAACGCGATAAAAACATAAATATCCCAAATTACGTCGAAAGAATCACCAAAACCCCTAGAGAGAGAGGATTCAAAAGGATCTGACCTCGAACTTCGAGAGCGGCGGAGCCACTCCAATCTTGCTCCTCTCAGGCGTCGCCATCTCATACGAAAACCCTAAACCTAGGGCTCTCCCATCTCCTCCCTCTCTCTCCGTCTCCCCCCGATCCTATCGCTTTCTCTTTTTCTACTGTGGACTGTAGATTGATTTCAAGAAGCGCGAAGGGCGGGAATCGGCATTTTTCTCGTGACAATCACCTGACCCTACCTCTGTTTCCCCTCTTCACTCCACGTTGCAGTAAAGAAAAAGCAAAAGACGACGAAAATTTGTAAAAGGAAAATTTTTACGTAAATAATCCAGTGCCTACGCTCCGAGATTAGGTAAAAGCTTTTTTATAATTAGTCTGGGGCTCGGAGAACCGACGCTTTCGCGGTACGTTCACCGCCCTCGTCCATCATTTCCTTTTCTTTTCCTTTCACCATTTAACAATTGTGATTAATGTTAGATTTTAGGAAAATTTATCTAAGACCCCAAAAATGGGAACCTCGTATAACCTAGCCCCACATATTATTTCCCATGTTGTTTAGCCGCTAAAAACAATCCAATACGCGGCTCTGCCCCTAAAGTCCAAAACTATCCAAGTATTATACGTATTTCATTTGTTATCTCATATTTACCTCTCTTCGCACGGAAAAAACACCGACGAGAGAGGAAAGCTGGAGGTGAGGGATCGCATTAAGTGTAACGCGATGGTAAAATTGGAGAGAAAAAATCGGGATTTTCCTCCATTAATCCTCTCTCTTACCTTTTCATTATCTTATTTGTTGTTTTATTCTCTCATTTTAATGCCGACGGACATGTGCGAAGAACTACTTTATAATCACTGCTGTTCACTTCCTCGTCAATGAATCTCCACTGAAATTGGTGTTTTCGACCATTAATCTTTATGTATCCTAGATAGATTTTGGGAGAAATCTAGCGAAATTAGGGTTTTTAAAGGGTATCCTCCAAGGTTGTTGGGTGGGTGGGGTGGGCGGGGGAGTGGCGTAGCCAGAAATATTTTTTAATATTTTTTGCCCTGGGCGAAAAATAAAGGTGGTCGACGGTGAGGGACTTGAAGCGACGGAGGAGGGAGAGGAGCTCGATGAGGGAGAGGAGGGAGGCGCGAGAGAGGGAGGAGGGTTGGGGATTGTTGAGATGGATGTCCTGGAAGAGGAGGGAGAGGAGGTTGGATCTGCGGGAGAGGGAGGTGAAGTGACCGGAGAAGAAGGGAAGCGAGGGGAGGCGGGAGGGGGAGGTGAAGTGGGGCAGTTTCTTGCCCTGGGCAGCTGCCCAGGGCAAGACTGCCCTAGCTACGCCCCTGGGGGGGAGCAAACTGAGTTAGGCGAAGGCAGAGTGGGAATGTAATAGGGATAATGAGGGAATTTTTTTAAAAAAAAATCCTCTATCTGATAACTTGGCATTATATGAATGGGCTAAATCACAAGTTGTAAGTGTATTAGAGGCTGTTATACATTAGAAATAAAACAAGTGGCTTTCACACATTGGTTTTCTTTTTTAGGGGCATTGACAAAAAATTTCTTAGATTTTATCATTGCCGTTTAGTTTTTCCCGCATTAACTACCGTTAAAGCGGGAAAGACTGAACTCAAGCAAAACGACAACGTTTATTACTTTTTTTCTTTCGCGCGGGACCCACTAACGAAGAGAGGTTAGTTTTGTGACGTGGCACTGAGTTAGGCGAATGCAGAGTTACTAAGTAAGGGGGAATGTAATAGGGGTAATGAGGGAATTTTTTAAAAAAATTCTCTATCTGATAACTTGGCATTATATGAATGAGCTAAATCACAAGTTGTTAGTGTATTAGAGGTTGTTATACATTAGAAATAATACAAGTGACATTCTCACATTGGTTTTCTTTTTTAAGGGGCATTGACAAAAAAAAACCTTAGATTTTATCATTGCCGTTGAGTTTTTTCCGCATTAACTACCGTTAAAGCAGGAAAGACCGAACTCAAGCAAAACGACAACGTTGATTACTTTTTTTCTACCGCGTGGGACCCACTAACGAAGAGATGTTAGTTTTGTGACGTGGCAAATAATGGCAGCGTATCTTGACGATCCGCTAGTGATTAGAAACACCGAACATGTAACAAGTGAAGGGAATTCGCACGTTTTTAAAGTAATTATAATTATTGCTTGTTAAGTGTCAATGCGCTGTCTTCATGCTTGATTGGGATATTATTAGTTGGCAAGTTATATGTCGCCTACACTAAATGAATGTGTTAATCATATCGGCCTGATTAAGACTTTGATTACTTGAGAAATATGTAGTACTGACTGTATGTTTTTAAGAGGACAACAAAGTACAAAGTACAAAGTATCAAAATGGCAAAAAATTTAAAAATAAAAATCAAAGTGAATATCCTTTCAATTAATCACGACCAAAAATAAAATAAGGGCCGTATGCCCCACAATTTTCATCAAGAATTTCTTTATAGGCATTTTTTAGTGCTTCTTTTATTCTAAAAGTTTATAAGGGGGTACGGCGACGGCAGAGTGTTGCTAACAAGGATTAGAGTGGAGGAAATAGAGAAGAAGAGAGATGAAATGTTTTTAATTGTTTCAATAAATCTCAAATATGTTTGTGATATATTTTTGTTATGCACAAGTCAAATGGGAATCTTTCATATCATGAGACAGGCAAACAGAACGCGGTAACGTTATTTAAAAATCCATCAGTGGTGTCTAATTAAATGTCAAAAAATAAAGATACTGTTAGCATTTTCTTAAGGAAAAGGCAATTGTGAATAGTCCCACATTGGAAGTTGAAGAGAAGTTCAAGTGGTTTATAATGGTTCACTTCCTAATGGGCTTTGAGTAATGTTTTGGGCCTACTAGTGTTTGAGCTCTTTCTCCACACATGCGCGCGCGCACGCCACGCCTCGCCACGACGCGCGCGCCACGCCGCACTCGGGTTTTGCTTCTCCAGCTTTTATTTTTTTATTTTTGTAACGACAGCATTTATTATGTAACGGCAGCGTGATTTACGCCCAACGGACGAGGAGATTCAGCATCGGTTACTGGTTCATGAGGCTATATAAGGAGGCAGAGTTCATTCGGGAAAACACACAGAAATTCACAAAGAATTTCATAGCTCCCTCTTCCTCCTTCTGCTACTCTTAGTACTCAAAGATTTTCGGCTACATATTTTGAGGATTATTTTTGGGCAATCATCTTCATCTGAGCAGAAGCTCTGCTACTCGCGCCCGAGTAGAGAGGCCGGCCGTTTCCGGGGGGCTTTTACCGCTAGGGGGGAGGATCAACTACGCCAGGGCGACAGGCGGGTCCTCTATCTTCTAGGGCAGTGTATCACGACTGCACCCCGTTCAGGCCTGATTTTTCATAACTCATTTATTTTCAGTTAAACTAATATTGTTTATTGATAGCAATCTAGAAGATAGATAATTTATTGCTGTTAATTTAAATCTGAAAATAAATATATATTAAAAAAAAAAAATTTGTTACTGTTCACCCGAATTTCATATTTGTTTAACTGTTTTAATTTGTTAACCTTTTGCATCTAAGTAGTTAACAAATTATTTTACTGCAATAGTACTGAATTTTATATCTGTCAATTTTCATATTCAGTATCTGTCATAAAAAAAAAAAAATAAAATAAAAAATAAAAAAAAAATCTTTAAGTGAACCGGTTCAAGTTTTCTTGGATTAGTTGGTGTCTAAGGAAAGGTTTAAGGGTTGCATAAAGCGCTCTGCAAGAAACGAGGTACTTAATCGATCATTGATCAACCTCTAGTACTATCCTTACCTGGCCAAACTACCCGAGTAAAACTTTAATCTTTTCACTTTTAGAGTTTTTGGTTAAGAGCAGGTTTAATTAAGTTTCTGGTCTAGTAGTATTAATAAAATTCTTACCCTGTTCAGATTTCAACTACCTAGACTAGTAAAACTCAAATTGGACTTATGGCAATTGATCATTCAAAAAGTGTCAAACCTGAGAAGTTCACCGGTATCAACTATAAACGGTGGGCTAATCAGATGAGATACTGGCTCACTACCTTAGGTCTCTTATCAGCCATTGACTTTCCTGAGTCTTCTACTAGTGGTACTCAACCTTTGACTCCTGATCCTGAACAGTCTGTTCCTTCCACTTCTGGTTCAGGTGCTAGCTCTCTTTCTAGCTCTATGAAACCAGAAGATATTAATTATCATTGTTGTCATAGAATTCTTAGTGCACTTGCAGACAACCTTTATGACATATACTATGAGTTCAAAAGTGCAAAAGACCTATGGCAAGCTCTTGAAGCAGAATATGGCTATGATGATGCCGGAATTCTGCGTTTCACCTCTTCGTCCTTCAATAAGTTCATGATGGTAGATGACAAGCCCATTAATGAACAAATTCATGAATTTTTAGATTTCATCCGTCATCTCCAATCAAAAGGAAACACTTTTACTGATGACTATAAAGTTTCCTGTTTGATTGATAAACTCCCTCCTTCCTGGTCTAGATTTGCTGGAGATCTCCGACACAAGCAAGGAGATCTAACCTTAACTGAGGCCCTCAAGGCCATTCGTATTGAAGACCAGCATAGGCTGAATTCCAAAACCAAGAATGAATCAAAAGCTAAAGTAAACTTGGTAGAGGAAAAGCCTAAATCTAGAAATTTCAAACCCAAATGGAAGAAATTCAAGAAAAACCAACAATCTTTCAATAAATCTTCCTTCAAAACAAATTCTTCCAATTCCAATTCTTCCAGCCATAAGTCTGATGGAAAGTTCTGCTTTGTCTGTGGTAGAACCAACCACATTTCTTCCAACTGTTTCTTTCGGAAGAAGGAACCGGCTAAACCTGCCTCTAAAGGAAATGGATCAAATAAAGTTAATATGATTGAAGAGAATCCAACCTCCTTCAGGTTAGCCCCATCACCTCATCTTGTAAATTCTCTAACTTCTTCCACTGATTGGTATCTGGATTCCGGAGCAAATATACACGTCTGTAATGATCGCTCTTGGTTTTCAAATTATCAGGAATCACGTGGAGGAAGCATAAGCTTAGCAGATGACTCCACTAAACCAATAATAGGAAGTGGAAGTATAAAGCTCACTATGACTTCTGGGAAAGCCCTACATCTGCAAGGCGTCTACCTTGTTCCTTCTCTCCGTCGAAATTTGATTAGTGAATCTCTTCTTCTTAGAACTGGTTATAGGATTGTAAAAGAATCCAACAGATTTGTGATTACAAAGAGTAATAATTTTATAGGAAAAGGTTTTATCTGTAATGGCCTTTTCAAACTCAATGTAATCAATTCCAGTTCTAATGAAAATTCTAAGTCTCCTGTTATTCAAATTGTTGAA